ACCAAATAATTTCACTAAACATTATGAAAAATTTATGCTTTTTTAGAAAAAAAACCTACAGAGAAAAAAACTCCTGCATCACTTGAAACATTGAAAAATAGCATTGAGAAATTACTGTTATTAACTACGGCATAGGACACACACAGGCTTTCCTCCTCACCAACGACATTAAACACAGTGTCTACACTGGACGCGAGCGGCAAAATACAGTAGAACCCATTATAATCAGTGACATTGTCTACACTGGATGCGGCGTGGCGCGACGCGACAAAACCCCAACATTAAAACTGATGCCTTGTTCTATTTATGACGTACTGACACAAAGTTAAAATGATTTTCAACGGTCGCTTTGTCGTGTCCAGTGTAGAGCTGTTGCGGCGAGGCGCGACGCGACAACTGTAGCGTCCGGTGTAGAAACGGTGAGTGAAGCTGAGAGCAAGATATGCCTCGTCATATTTTCTGTATTTCGCTTTTGAATGACCAGCACCTGCCTGGGTCTGTAGCTGAGAGCAAGATATGCCTCGTCATATTTTCTGTATTTAGCTTTTGAATGACCAGCACCTGCCTGGGTCTGTGCGATTGAGCAAGATATGCCTCGTTTCCCTTTCACAAACCGATCCATCTCCCATTCTAAGTTACGTCCTTTGGTGCGATTTCATCTATGGCCTTTTCTTTTTCTGCTGATGGCCCGCGCCCGGGCACATTCATCTTAGTGAAGGTAAAGATTGAAAAGTAATTTGACCAATAAGCATTGTACATAATCGACCAATAGTGGTGCAAATACGCGTACATACTATGTGTTTGACCTGAAGCAGCGCTGCGCAGACCAATCGATGCATAAAGTACCGCGAGAGTGATTCGAAAGCATAAGTAGTCATCTGCTCTCTATAGCTTTCAGAGTACTTTGACGTCATACACTGATCTGTCTGTGCAGCACTGCTTCAAGTGTAAGCGTATACACCTAATATGTTGCTTTGACCATTCCCTGTAGATCCCACCTTCTCACACCACATGTGAGACCACTCTCACACCATCAGGCCCTTGGGGCAGTCGTGGAGAGTGAGTGTCGGACTTGTAACCGAAGGTCGCGGGTTCGAGTCTCAGGTCCGGCAGGGATTGTAGGTGGGGTGAATGAATGTACAGCGCTCTCTTCCACCCACAATACCACGACTGGGTAGAGACCCTTGAGCAAGACACCGAACCCCCAAATGCTCCTCGCAGCAATATGGCTGCCCACTGCTCCGGGTGTGTGTTCACTACTGTGTGTGTGTGCACTTGGATGGGTAAAATGCAGAGCACAAATTCCGAGTATGGGCCACCATACTTGGCCACACGTCACTTCACTTTCACATTGTTAGAACTGCCCGGTCATGCAGATTTGCCATATACAACATTAGGAAGACCAGGCCCTTTTAATTGAAACATGCTACACAACTCCTTGTTCAAGCTCTTGCAACACTCTCTTGGCAGGTTTTCCAGCCAGTTCGATCAAACCTCAACAACTACAGAATATGGCAGCTAGAGTAGTCTTTAATGAGCTGAAAAGAGCATGTCACACCTCTGTTCATCAATTTGCACTGGCTACCTCTATCGCTACAAGTAGTGAAGCTACTAGCTTAACTACGTTTCTTAGTAGCGTGGTGGTAGCGTCACTGTTTTCTTAATCAAATAGCTTTTCAGTAGCGAAGCTCTTTATTTGATCAAGTAGCGCGGTAGCGTCAACAAAAGCTACATTATCCAAAGCATTCTGAAGCTCAAGCTCAAATCGGAAATATAACTGCTAAGGATCACTGATCCTGGACCAGTAAAAAAAAAAATGCCACCAACACTAAACCTCGTAACTCCATTGGCTCATCAAACTGTCAGTCAAACCTCATTATTCCTCCCGCCTCTCTCGTGAATGAAGTGCGGCACGCAGTTTGGAGCATCTCAGCTTGTTTGCAGTCTGAAGGTAAATAAAAGAACTGTTGATGGAATAAGTACAGCGTTTTCTTTACTCAAGAAACACTATTTATAAAGGCTAATGTTTTTTTGTATTTGAGGAGCGGAGAAGAGTGTCTTAGCATTTGTTGTCAAGTCAGTCAAATAGCTTGTGCGAAGCGCTGAATCTTTTATAATATGATACTTTGGCCAGAAGAGTGTCTTAGTCTAGCATTTGTTGTCAAGTCACATTCAAATAGCTTGTGCGAAGCGTTGAAGCTTTTATAATATGATACTTTGGCCAAATAACAGAAAAAAACTGAGTGCCCACATAGCAACAAAAACTGTATAACCTGCAAGTTCATGAAAATGTAAATGTGATGCCCATACTGCCTTTGATGTGGCGTTAATGACGGGAAAAAACATGCGCTGGTCAAAAGCTTAGTATTTGAACTTGATTTGGTGAAATGTTAATAATATAATGACACATGCAATGATGCAAATAAAGTTATTTGTAGGCCTATACATCTATATGGTAACATTATACAATAAGATTTCATTAATGTTAGCTAATGTATGAGCTAACATAAGCACACAATGAACAATACATTTATTACAGTATTTATTCATCTTTGTTAATGTTAGTTAATACAGTCGTTCATTTGTAGTTCATGTAAGTTCACAGTGCATTAACTAATGTTAACAAACACAACTTTTGATTTTAATAATGCATTAGTAAATGTTGAAATTAAAGGGGTCATATGATGCGATTTAAATTTTTCCTTTCTCTTTGAAGTGTTACAAGCTCTTGGTGCATAAACAAGATCTGTAAAGTTGCAAAGACTAAAGTCTCAAAACCAAAGAGATATTCTTTATAAAAGTTAAGAGTCAACCACGCCTACCTAAAACGGCTCGTTCTAACACGCCCCCACATACCTACGTCACGATGTGGGAAGATTTGCATAACACCGCCCAAATGTTCACGCAAAGAAAGAAGGCATAACTTTTATTCTCGCCTATTGTAATGAGACTGGTATTAATAGATTCCTTGGGTCATGCTGAGAACAGCGATACCAATGTTGCCATAGTCAGCCAAACTTCCTGTCTGTCATTTTGATTTTCTTTAAAAACCTACTTTTTCTAACGCCACCTAGACCGTCGGTCCAATTTTCACCAATATCGAATCATATCATCTTCAGACCATGCTGACAAAAAGTTATGGATTTTGTATCAATAGACAAAACCGTTTTCGCAAACCACAGCAACAAATTTGAGGCATGATGCCAAAATGACGTTTGAGGCTTTATCTCTGCAATGCTTTGGCATATTGACACCAAACTTTGTGTGTGCCATTGTCAACTCAAACAGAACACACCACATCAATTTTATTTAGTTAGTTCATGTTACACTAGTTAACTAATGTTAACTAATGAAACTTATTGTGAAGTGTTACCATTTATATAAATGTATCTGTATACAATAAAGCCATAATACCAACTATCAATAGGAGGTTTCCAGCTGACAGCAAAAATTTATTTTGCCTATGTCACAATATGAGGTAAATCCGGCCCTGTACATGATACTGATTTTTGTTGCCAAATTGGTTTGGAACAGTTGTTGAATAAACAACTAAACTGAACTATTATGCCTGTCTATCTGCTTGACTGACAGTTTTATTTATCACTGAGAGAGCATTGCCTTATGATGTTGGTTCAATATAAAAAATTTATTTTTTAAAATAGCTTAGATGTAGTAAACTACTTTTGCCAAGTTGATGTAGCTTAGCTTGCTGCATTTCCCAGGGCTGTAGCTTTAGTGTAGTGAAGCTTCATTTAATGAAGAGTAACTGTTAGCTTAGCTCACTACATTTTCCAAGTAGCTTGCCCAACACTGCTTAACTGTTCCCTGCTGGTGGAATGACCTGCCAAACTCGATCCGAGCAGCCATCTTCAAGAAATGACTAAAAACACATCTCGTCCATCTACACTTGACCCTCTAAAACAAGCACTCTCTATTCAATTTCTATTTTATCTACGCGTTTTTTTATTAAAAAAAACATTCACACTCTAACACTAGCACTCTATTCTATGTACTTGTTTTCTTTTTATTTATTAAAAAACATGTGACCCTCTAACACTATCGTTCTCTATTTTATTTTATTCTATTCTATGTATTTGTTTTCTTTTCATTTATTAAAAAACATGTGACCCTCTAACACTATCGTTCTCTATTTTATTCTATTCTATGTACTTGTTTTCTTTTCATTTATTAAAAAACATGTGACCCTCTAACACTATCGTTCTCTATTTATTTCTATTCTATCAACTTGTTTTCTTTATATTTATTATCATCTACGTGTACTGCGTTAGACTAACGGGACTTGTCACAGCACTAACATAATGTTGCTGTTGGTTTGATTGCTTCAACTGTCATCATTTTGTAAGTTGCTTTGGATAAAAGTGTCTGCTAAATGAAGTGTCTGCTAAAAGTGTCTGCTAAAATGTAAATGTAAGTCATTACAAGAAAAGATGTTTGGCGTGTGTTGCTTTTTCAAATGCATGTTATAAGCAGGGAAGCGTTTCCTCATCTAAGCGCATAGACTCAAGGGCACACAAAAACAGAGCCAGAGACTCACAGGCAGACAAAAACAGCCAATTCAGAGAGAAATAAAATGCACTGAAATTATTGAAACACAAGCAAGAAAAGAAAAAAAAAAAAAACATTCACAAGCGCATTCTGAACTGTGGATGTCATACCGAACAGTTCAATATTATATTAAGAAGTGTGGCATCTCTAGTGGCCCAAATACTGTCATCACTTCCCTTCTGAGTGCTTAATCCCTTTTTTTATATACAGATTTCAGCCATTTACATCATAATAGTTTTTATTGTTATACTATAACAGTATACTAACTGTATTTCTCTCCTTTGCCATTTTATTTGTTGCCTAAGAAATACATTTTATTTATCGATACAGAGGCACCAGAAACTGGTACCAATATTATGCTAATGTGTCTAATCATAGTATACAACCAAATTGAAGCTGTTAATTACATACTTAACAGCACCTCTGAGATGTGAGGGTGATTTTTCTCACCGAGTAACAGCAGAGTTCATGAATGATGACTCTGTTGGAGAAGGTTTCATTGTGAGATTCAATATGAAGAGTTCTTTCTCTGTGGTTCAGAGAGTTCTTCTGAATGAAGTAGACATAATCCACACCTGCAATCTACACACAAATACAGGATTTATCATTTTATTACAAATCAAATCTAAAAATTGAATCAAGCTTATTCACATCTTATATCACAAGACTTCCATTCCATTTTACCCGTTTGAGGAGTCGTGGTGCATCCACGTCAAGTTTACACCTCCTCTCAATCCTATGAAAAGATCGATCCTCACTGGTCTCCTCACTGATCACATCACTGTCCACAAACATGGGGATCAAATGACAGGTGGGAAACCTCCTCTCATATGCCTGAAGAAGAGAGAACAACATAAGAATTTACTGAAAAACGAAAGAAGAATCAAAAACCCACCTGCTTTCCTTTATGGAAGAAAAGAGGTACAGTATGTGTGTGTTTTTTTGTTTTTTTTTTGCATGAGCATAAAGTCACTGAGGGCCTGTTGCACAGAAAGAGAGCAGCGGGGAAGACATTGATCAGATAGGTGGTATCACTATTGAGCACACTGTCACAGAGAAACATGGGCAATGAATAGTTGATATAAAAAATGGATGATGACTAGTAATTCCCTACTAAATTACTAAAACAGATTTTAATAATTGGACCAAAAACCTCCACATGTAATATCTACTTGGTGGCTGCTCTGTCAAGTCTTCATCAATTAGTAACCCTGGTTGTGCCCTTTGATAGTGTAACATGTTTTTGTTTTGACTTGATGTTAGGAAGCGCATGTTTTGTGTGCAACTCTTTCTCGTATGTCTCTCTCTTTCTTGCTCCTTCTCTCAAGCTGTAATTGCTCACAGGTGAAGCTACTATTCAGAGACGACCTGATTGGTGATAGGAGTGCTGGTTGATGTACTTGTGTCGCATTCAAGCCAAGTTTGGATGTGGGAACATCCAAGTTGAAATGTCTCACTTCAAACCTCAGTGAGTTCCAGTCAATACACGTCATGTTAACATATTGACCTCATGATGCCGTCATGACACGAGAGCATTACGTGTTTTTGTGTCATTTATGGCAAAAACAAAAAAGAAATATAGCTGCAAACAGCGATTACCGGGGTTCAAGCACATTAAGGCATTTAAGGTGGTATATTTTAGGGTCTAGGCCAACCTGGATGTGTGGCTGACAGTAAAACGCATCCAAAATGGAGAATAGGCTCACGGACACAGAAACACACACACAGAAATGAAATGGTTAAACTATTATATTAATACTCAATAAGCATGCTTAAACACACACAGACACACACACACATACACAGACAAACATGCACACACATTTTGCTGCAGATATAGATATTTGACATAAATGATAGGTGACAATACTTATTGCAAGTCGTCTCTTTTTAGGAGTTTATATGTCATTTTCAGGTTTCACTGTAATCATAATCTGGCATAATTGTAAAAACTAATATGTCTGTATGAACAAAATGGTAAACTATGACTAAATGTGATTTTAAATGTTATAACAGTGATTTTATAATGTCTAAGCATGAATCCATCAAACCTATGAACAGTACTGTTTTAGTGCATTTAATGAGCCCATTAGTGGTCTTCCTCTGCCATCTAGTGGTTATACATGCAATTTCTCATACATCACTGTATTTAACCTTTATAACTATTATAGTGTTATTTTTTGCCCAATTTCTCTTAAATTTTGCATGCTTCTTTAGAATGAAATTATGCATTATTTTACATAGTTTTGAGAGAAACTGTGGGCTTTCTTTTAGGATTTATAGGCCTTTGGGTACACTATGTAAAGAACATATTATAAAATGACCGGTTTATAGTTGTCCAAATGCAAATGTTCAACATTTTTTTAATAATTATTGACCTAGAGAGTCTACAGAATAGTACGTACCTGATTTTATTGATTTTGAGTTAAAAACTGAGGACTAGTTCACAAAAGTAGGTTTTCAAAATAATCTCAAATACTTAAAGAACAGTTTGATTGACAGCAGTGATCCTAGAGGCAAAGTTGTTCAGAATGATGAGATCTCTCATATGATATGGAGGTAAAGTGTATAAGTGAATATATGAACATTTTATTGCAATTTGAGGTAATTTACTATAGAAATACTGTTTTTTCAGGCTGTTTTAACTGTTATAGCGCCACCTATGGTCAGATCTGTATGAAACTTTGCATGCTTGTTAAGTGTCTTCTATCACATGTTTTCATCAAGTTTCATAAAGTTTTGAGTTTTCGTTTAGGTTTTAGAGCAGGGCTCACCAAACTTGGTCCTGGAGGGCAGGTGTCCTGCAGAGTTTAGCTGCAACTTGCCTCAACACACCTGCCTGGAAGATTCAAGCATACGCAGTAAGACCTTGATTAGCTGGTTCAGGTGTGTTTGATTAGGGTTGGAGCTAAACTCTGCAGGGCACCAGCCCTTCAGGACCGAGTTTGGTGACCCCTGTTTTAGAAGCTTTTGGGTATATTTGGCCACACCCTTTTAAAATGACACCATTATAGCTAACCAAAAGACAAAATTCTACATTTTTTTTGATAATTATTGATCTAGAGAGTACAGAGAATATTACTGCAGTGGCAGTGGTTTGACTGAGATTGAGCGAAAAACCTAGGACTAGTTCGCAAAAGTAGGTTTTTAACATAATTGCGAATATTTAATGAACGATTTGGTTGACACCATTAGTCCCAGAGGCAAAGTTGATATGAAGATCTTGTGTTTTGTGAACATACGTACGTTATACAATTTGAGGTAATTTTCTATACAAATATTGTATTTTTGTGGTCTTTTCAACGGTTATAGCGCCACCTATGGTCCGATATCCATAAAACTTTGCATGCTTGTTAAGAGTAATCTGACACATGTTTTCACCAAGTTTCGTAAAGTTGTCAGTTTTCATTTAGGTTTTATAGGCTTTTGGGTATATTTGACAACGCCCCTTTTATAAATAACCCCGTTAAAGGTAACCAAAGAACAAAATTCTACAGTTTTTTGATAATTATTGATCTAGAGAGTCCAGAGAATATTATTGCAGTGGTTTGATCGAGATTGAGCGAAAAACCTAGGACTAGTTTGCAAAAGTAGGTTTTTAGTTTCGTTCCGATCGACCAATCAATACCGATCGTCAAATAGGTGTTTAAATTTGTTTGGCCAATGGCGGCCATGTTTTTTGAGATACACGAATGTCCTCATAGACACTTGTGCCCTTTTGGACAAAGACACTGCATACCAATTTTCAAGTCGATCGGACCAATGGTTGCGCAGTTATAGTCGTTTTTAGGTATTTTTCCGTCTTATAGCACCACCAAGTGGCAGAGCTGCGCAATTTTTTTTTATTTGGCCAAAGACTGAGCTCATACACATGTGTACCGAGTTTGGTGAAGATATCTCATTCCGTTCAAGAGTTATAGCCATTTTAGTAAAATTGGCCCCACCCCTTACGAACGTTTTGGCGTCCCTATGCGACGGTGAGTTGAAATTTCAACTTTTTTTTGATAATTATTGATATTCTCTGTCCAGAGAATATTTCTGCAGTGGTTTGGTTCGGCTCGGGCAAAAAACCTAGGACTAGTTCGCAAAAGTAGGTTTAGTAGAGCAAATCTAAACTTCTAGGCTTCTGTCCGTCTTGACCCAAGGATTCCAAAAGTGTAAAAGTTTTGAGTCTAAAACAAACGGTCTAGGAGTTATGAGTAGCGAGCCAGACTACTACCACCTGACCAAGTTTCAGCTCTCTAGGCCTTACGGTTTGTTCTGCACGATCAGTTTTAGGGAAGAAGAATAATAATAAAAATCCTAACAATTACAATAGGGTTTCAGCACTATGTGCTTGAACCCCTAATTAACATAAAATGCTGCCGTTCGTTTTGAAAACAGCTGACGAAAAGCAAAAATTAAGGTATAGTTTTATAAACTCAATGTGTAATGTTTTTAAGTTTGACACGAGGTACCTCCACACTCGTTAAATTCAGTTTTCTTGGAAAGAAAGACTTGTCTGTGCGAGACTTCATTTCATTTGCCGCAGCACTTCAAGTCTGATGTGTGACCCACTTAACAAAGTGCAGTAAACGGTAAAACATTTGTGCTACAAATTAGCGTGTTTATTAGCATGTTAACAATGCAGTTTACAGCATCCAGCAGCACAATGAACTGTTTTGCACAGCTAAATAGGCTAACTGGAGGCTGATATCGCCTCACACACTCAAGTTCACTCTAGCTCTTACACTAAAAATAAGATGGAAAGGTAAAAAATGAACAGTTTCCATAGATCTAGTCTTTGCATCTGTTTGTTTGATGTTTGAATCAGGTCTTCTCGGGTCTTGGGCGAAATACTGCTGGATTTTGGACTATCGTCTCTATCGTGGTTACAGGCTCACGTGGTTTTAGGGAAGAAGAATAATAATAAAAATCCTAACAATTACAATAGGGTTTCAGCACTATGTGCTTGAACCCCTAATTAACATAAAATGCTGCCGTTCGTTTTGAAAACAGCTGACGAAAAGCAAAAATTAAGGTATAGTTTTATAAACTCAATGTGTAATGTTTTTAAGTTTGACACGAGGTACCTCCACACTCGTTAAATTCAGTTTTCTTGGAAAGAAAGACTTGTCTGTGCGAGACTTCATTTCATTTGCCGCAGCACTTCAAGTCTGATGTGTGACCCACTTAACAAAGTGCAGTAAACGGTAAAACATTTGTGCTACAAATTAGCGTGTTTATTAGCATGTTAACAATGCAGTTTACAGCATCCAGCAGCACAATGAACTGTTTTGCACAGCTAAATAGGCTAACTGGAGGCTGATATCGCCTCACACACTCAAGTTCACTCTAGCTCTTACACTAAAAATAAGATGGAAAGGTAAAAAATGAACAGTTTCCATAGATCTAGTCTTTGCATCTGTTTGTTTGATGTTTGAATCAGGTCTTCTCGGGTCTTGGGCGAAATACTGCTGGATTTTGGACTATCGTCTCTATCGTGGTTACAGGCTCACGTGTCGTTGCTGTGCTACATATGTGGTCACGAAAACATAACGTTTGCATACGTTTTTAAGCTTAACGGTCTGAGAGACTTTTTCTTAGGCCCCGTCCACACGGAGACGCGTTTAGCTGTATACGGTTTCGTGTGGACGAAGATATTTCTTGAGACGAGGGGAAAAAAAAGATTGGATAGGGAAAGCTCTGGCTTCGTGTGGACGTAGCCTTAGTGCTGTCAGTGAGGTGCACACATGCGAAGACAGTGCTCATAGAGCGCGGGAGTATTGAAGTTATTTTTGTCCCTTTATAGAACTTGAATGGTTAAATACAGACACTTGTATGTCTCAAAATGC